TATTATCAGACCTGGCTCCAGGTGCTGGAAACATCTGGATGTGACATCATCTTGGCTACATTATCTAAATTTACCTAGAAAAATATCAACCACTCACGACACAGTAGCATGCTTATTATCAGTCAGAGACCTTACCTGTTCTAGTTTGGTAGCAAATGCCACAGTGACAGACAGGACGAACATGTCAGTGCAGCGATCAGCAGGTCCGACCTGATGGTAACCCTGGTCTGGGATCAGCATGGCCTCCAGCTTGTCTGGGAGCAGCTCAGTTACTGGAGAACCTACATTAGAAGATCAGGGCAAGTGCAAAAAAAATAGCAGAGGAAAGAACATTAAACCATAAAGACGGATGCAGAAACAGCATGAAGTTACCCACTGGTTTACAGTGGAGCCAGTTTGAAGTCCAGAGTCCAGGACCTTCCTAAGAGGTTGGGGGTGTTGCCTTTGCCCCTCCACCTCAGACCCAAACACTAGCTTCCTCACAACAGCAGCTGCATGTCTCACCTGCTACTTACTGAGCTATGTATTCTGTCCCACACTGCCACACTTGCTAAATGTGTAGAAAGATGTGGTAGACCACAGTAACGTCAACTTCAGCTGATGCAGAAAGCACTAACAACACCTGTGCACCAGAGACACAACCAGCTAGCTAATTAGCAGGCTAGCTGCTGGACTGTTTTATGCAAATGTACTGTAAATATGGACTAAATGCTAAGATAAGTTAGCTAAACTATGCTACCAGACCAGGTATGGTAATGTTGTTAAGGTAAAACTGAGACACTGAGACCAAAATGTCTCCTGGAACAAATGATTGACTTAGTATTTCTGGAGAAACACAGAGGCTCTTTTTTTAAGACTGAGCTGAAGCTGGATTTTTTAGAGGCAGCCTCTAGCAGCCCTCAGTGACACTGACCATTAAGAAACGTCCACATTGGCCTCAGCCTCCAGACGTGGGCCTTACCACCTGGTCTGAGGTGCTGAGGACCAGACAAATGTGCTCTTTGCAACAACATCAAACACTCACAGAAAGCAGTGAAAGTTTTTCTTCAAGATTATTTTGCTCTTATTTCATTATTAAACAATTTTAGTCAAAACTTAAACCTTTACATCCTCTACACTCTTTTACTGACTTTAGCAGAGCTATACTAACACAGGTCACATGCTGGCTAAGAAATGTATGACAACGCAGTGCGGAGATAATACATTTTCCTAAGCCCCCTCAAAACTGAACGTTATTAGAAAATAAAAGTCCTAATGCCTTCAATATGACACACATAACATCATCATAAGGTCGACTCTGCTGAGCTGCTGTTGGCCAACATCTGTCTGTCTCTTGCAGTGGACAGTTTAGTGGTCTACCTTCAGAGGCTTCTCCTATTTGAACTGACCATAAAAAACTAAATATCTACACAGCATCTATGACAAATACCACCTGGGCTGCACACCAGCTGATCGCTGAGCCCCAGACACCTGCCAGCCTTCATTCATTCACTGCACAACAAACGCATGACGTGCGGCGCCGGTAGCGCATCTGTGTTTCCTAATTTCCTACCTGCTACCGTTTTCATGACATGCACATCACGTTGTGTTTTTACCAAGCAGCAGTCTGTTGCCTTTGTGCCAGCAGGTGTGTCCAGATGGAAACGGGGTGTGTCCAGGTAAAGTTTGTGCGCATTGCTAATATGAGGGCGCACAAAGTGACTGCGCCACTGACCAGCCAAACCCGGGTGTGTGGTCAACAGTCAGATCATCGTTGCTAGTTAACGGGCACTTTGACCGTGATGTGACGCACACCTGTCTAGATGCACGTGCTGCGCAGGACATGCTAAACTTAAAAAAGATGACTCGCTGTTCACTGGGTGTGTGCACATCAATATATATGTATTTATAATAAATATCATTTTGATTAGTGATCATGAGCCTTCACCTCGCGCACCAGCAAGATCCGTTTCCTGTGGAAAATCTTACAGACCTCCGACCTGTCCGTAGTAACCCCGCAATCAAACCTTGAAACTCTCACGTCTCTTAACGGGATGTGAGGCTGCACACTGACTGGATGACTGCATGGTAATGCCAAACACACTGCTTTAAAGGGCGTTCACACAGATGCACAATGTACCTCCACACGTCAGCGCAAAGCTCTGGCTTTAGTTGTATTGATGAAGAGGAGGACACGAGCTGCAGCAAAGAAGAAGATGCTGTGGGTCGGCCAGAACCAGCTTCTTCATTCTCTTTGTGGTCTGTCAGGTTCTTTTTTCATATAAACTTGATTTCACATAATAGAAACACAGTACAAGGAAAACACAGCATAACAGAACAGTGCCAGGGTTAAAAACAGTAACAGAATTAACTAGATCTGCAGTTGGATGAGTCGAGGTGTCATCACAGAGCGCAGCGCGCAGGGACGGCACGCCTGGTGCAACGCAGATACATTCTTGCGCCGCGTGACACAGGAATGACAGTGGAGTACAGAGCGAACCGCGTCCTGTCTGAAAAAGACTTTAATGTGGAGATCAAGTACAAACTTTTTGCTACTTGCACGGGCACTTGTGCATTTTGGTAATTTGACAACAAGGAAAAAAGGTTCACGGACACACCCAGACACCACCTGCCCAGTACATTTTGATTGGAAACTGTGGATCCTTAAAATAGGGCCTTTTATGTTAAGTGTATCTGAGTCTAGACACCATAAAACAGCCAAGTGCCAGAAATTCTTACAACATTTAGCATTTTAAAATACTGCAAAAAGTGCTGTACAAAATGTCAAATCATAGTCTCAAACATAAATCTGCTCCAAAAGCATCTACAGTCTGATCAACTCGGGTCACTTCAAAGCATCATTGCAGCATTTTGGTTACAGGCCTTCAAAATCATGTTTGGCTTGTAAAACAACAAGATGTGAATCTGAAAGAGCAGTCAGTGTGACCAGGGGGAGTCGCTTGCTCCAGTTCCACAACAGTCATGACATATAATATGGCACAGCACAGACCACCCACCTGAGACAGAGTGGACAGACTGCCAAAAGGAAAGTCAATCACCACAGTGTTCACATCTCTTCTCTAAACAAAATTATATCAAGATAAAGAAAAACAAGGACTGAAGTGAGAACAGCATGAAAAACAGCAAGATACTGAAGAAGCAGCTGACCTTGTCGGGGCGGGGCCTTCTTGGCTTTGAACCTATCAGGAGAGGGTTCAGAGGGCTTGGTGTCGTTCTCCAGGACCATGGCGAGGAGGAGGGCTGGTTTCTGTTTGGTGTATTTACTGCTCAGCAATGGATACCAACGAGGCTCCTGATGGATACACAAAAACCAAACTCATCTTTACATTTCTCTCATCAGACTTTTGTCTAAGCAGAACAAAACCCCGTCTTTTTGCTGGTCCAATTGAGCATCACATGTCACAGGCTGCTACTTCGAGCAGCCTGACAAAGCACAAGGTGAGGGCTACCTGTTTGACCTCTTGTACTGATCGCAGGTCCAGGACAAGGTAGCCGACGCTCTCTCTCTTCTTGTTCACTGAGTCAACAGCAAAACACTGAAGCTTAATGGGAGTTCTCTGCAGTCTGGGGGGGACAGAGTGTCAACATGCATTCAACAACATTTTCGCAAAAACCAATGGCAGAAATAAAAAGAGACGGTCAACTATTTTAATACTATAATGCAACACGGTGGGCAGCCAATGCAGCTGCAGCATGGTAGAGCTATAGACCTGTGCTGGTGCAGCGTCCTGCGGTCAAGCTCCCAGGCCAGCTCAGTGATGAACTGAGGCTGCTCTCTGTGCTCCACGGGGTCTGTAGCCAGCTGCTCGCCATCAAAGCTCGCCTGAACCATCAGACTGAGCCGAGGACACTTCGGGAAGTGACGACCTGAAGAGGGAAAGAAAGGTTTACTCTCCTAATCACGACTCTCGTGAGCTACAGCTGAACATGTTTCCACTCTCAGTCTCAGGCCATTCATAAGTCAAATGCAGAAAGACTTTGGAGCTGGATGGTAGGTTTGGCTATCTAGTACTTAGAAAAGCAGCATTTGGAGCCCTGTCTATTGCTAACAACAAGTGGTCAGCCTAAGAGAGACTTTAAGACACTGAGCAGTGCGTGCCATAGAATTAGATTTTACTTGTGGTGGTACCTACAGGGGGCACACGCTAGATCTTTTTTCTATGCAGTAATACTGTAGTGCCCCTGTGCTTGCTGTTGCGGTGTTGTTCATCTGACCCGTCTCTGCTGCACTAGCTGCCTCTCCCACAGCAGCATGTTGGCTGCTGTCCTCCTCCTCTCCTACATCCCTCTCTCCAGCTCTCTTTTCCTGACCCTCTCTGGTTGAAGCCTGGAAATGTTCAAAACTAATTATTTAGACAGCTAATTGCGTTGGCCTGACTAGTTTTTCCCACATGTGATTTTAATTGCCACCCTGGACTGAGAGAATTCAGCATCAGAGTTTAAGACAGATATAGCATTAACATTATCCACTTGCAGAGCAGTCCATATACATCCATGATACAGCATAGCCCACCAACCTCGGCAACAGCTGTATTCTAACATTAGCTTAGCTATTAGCTGGCTAATACCCTACCGCTGAAGTCAGAAGTTTACATACACTTAGGCTGAAGTCATTAAAACAGAAATTCTTCTGTAGTTAATTGATCAGATTGCGTAGTTGTCTCACACATAAAAAAAACTATTATAATAAAAATGGGTGGCCAAATATACCTGGGCAGCCCGCCCAAGTAAAGTCTATGTGTGGGAAATGCTGCACTCAAAGAAAAATAAGAGTCTACTCGTACAAACAATGTCAAATAAGCCTACATTTTGAATTCTTCTTCTCTCAAAAGTCAGACACTAGGAGACACTAGGCCAGTTACACAACTGTGTTTCACATTAATACTGACAAAGCATCATTGAGCTGTAACAGGGCTTCTGCACCATCAGACTGAAGACTTCTCATACAGGAGGACAATAAGGCAGACAAACATTTTTAAATGCATGATGGACAGATTACATTTTGTCATTTCCAACCAGTCATTCCCAGTAATATAATTAATCAACTATCCTGGACAATTAAGTGAATTTATTTCATTGCTAAAATTGACACTCGCTCATTATGACTTACTATCCAGTGTAGCTAGCAGCAGCACCAGTGTTTTCTAGATGTCTAATGCTGAACAGCCTCCAATCCACTGTCACAACAATCCCAGCTTTAGTTTCCCTGCAGTCACACACAATGTTTTTATAACTAACCTCACTACCTACTACAGATCAGGGAAAATACCTACAGAAGGGACAATATGGCTTTTTCTCCATATGATTCGATGCACGATATGGTGTGTACGATTTGTTTGAATCGCAATTCAAATACTTTGGCCAAAAGCTGAAAGTGGAATCCTGCATTGCACATAGTCTGAGAATATTCCTTTATCTTAACCTTTATTTTAACAACCTCATTCTCAATGGTGACCTGCCAAAAGGGCAGCATTAGCTACAAACGTTAAACAATAGAAAGCAGACGTAGATGCCATTTCACTTATTTCTAACCACATATATTGAGCTTTTCAAATGGAAGTGTAGAATTTTTACAAATCGTAGAACATGCCGAAATCACTTTACTGCAATAACGTAAAGTTAGAAGACAAACAAGACACTTTCTGATACCAGCGTCCATAATTTACAGCCTGTCGATATTAGCAAATATGTACACATACCTGTTACAAACGTTACGTTAACTTGTACAAGTTTATTATCCAAAGGCTTCCTCTGTGCTAAACATAGATGTGTGCAAAATATGCATTTCAAATATCTGTGCTTTGTGATAAAAATGGCAATTTATCCAGTTACAGTTCATTTCTCAGGGTGGATTTAACTGACCGAGCTAACAGCATCGACAGCAGCAGCTGATTAAATGCGTGACTATTGACACTCGTAAAATCACTGTATGCTGCCGCTGAAAGCGTATAACACATCTAATATCGACTAACATTGGTATTAAAACTGTGTAATTTACTTTAGAAGTGAAAACGCAGGTTAACTATCCACCTCTTTGAACTACTCACCTTCGAGAATGGACAAAACGATAAGAAGTTGGTCTGTCTTCGAAGCCATGTTGATATTTGTACACTTCTAGCTGTTTATTTAAAACTGCTAGACTCCTCTGTACGTTGTCGCTTAATTCTGTAGTCGCTTGAGGACACAAAATAACTTTAGCATCTTGTTTGCTGGAAGACTGAATGTCCGTTGAAAGCTGCAACAGTCGCTTTGTTGTCAAGCCTTGGCGCCACCCATTTTGTTTTAAAGCCGGAAGTTAATAGACACGCGCTGTGGTGTTCTGTGCCCTCTGCTGGTCGGAGGTTAAAACTACAGCACTTTACCCTTTTGAGCTGTCGGACAGTTTGCCATGCGCAAACATACTTTTACCCTGCAAAGTGCAATAGTTAATATGGATAATTATTTGTGGCTAATGAAACTAAGCAGTGTCCTGTTTTTGATGGGAGGCTTCTGGTTCTGACCATCAGCAAACCACCGATGGGAAAATGGAAGGTTTCAGTAGACTAATACTGTATGTAACAATACATTTAGTCGTGTCTATGCATGGTTTTAAATAGAGACGTAAAATAAAAAAAATACGGCAGAGACCTACAAAACTGTAACTGACAAAGAACAAATCCCAGTGTTCTGTGTTCTTCAATAACAAATTAAAAGTTTTTAAGGTTATGCAAAAATCATAAAGATGATAAAAATTAAAAGTCTTTGTTGCACAAACAACTATTCTTTGATGTTACACAGAATTATTACTAATAATAAACTGTTTTTCCTATGAGAACTGAAGGTGATGTTGGTTAATTTACTGTAGAAACAAATATTCATGTCGCTTCAGAGAGAAAACTCCACAGACAAGATAATATATATAAACATCCTTTAATCGTGATTGCCAACCATATGAATTAAGGCATATACAGTATAAAAAAGCAACAGCAGGTTTCATGTGTTTATTTCAGTGTGTTATTAAGTGGATACACCGGGCAGATGAACTGAACATACCGAGCAGCCTTTATAAGACAACACCGTGTCTCCCAAAAGTTGACAGCATCTTGTAAACAGAGTTCATAGCACTATATTCAAGTAATAGAATGACCACGGATACTATTAAGGTGTTGTGTAAGAGAAGCAGAGCTGCTGATAGACACGGTTGGGCCACTGTAATCTTATTGTCAGCCTAGTTGGCACCACAGTGATACTGTAAGCATGTTAGCAATAATGAATATATTGTTGTTCTGCATTCACCTAATTTGGAGATATTATAAATACAGTTTTACAATTTGTCTAAAGAGGACATATGAGGTGAATGCAGCATCAGGGCTTAATGTTAATAGAACATCTGGTGGCCATATTGGATTGTGCTGTGCATTCAATATCACCTAACTACCAAGCTAACTAATGGCTAATCTGACCAGCTAACAACACTGCCTTGTTGTTGACACATCAAATTAGTACACTGGCTAATGTAGCTAGCAGGCGCTAGCGTGAGCATGCTAACACAAAGACACCCTATGTGGCATGTTTTTAAGAGAAAAACAATGTCACACCCTTCAGAACTGCAGGTGGAGGAATAGGTGAAATCGCAAAAAATAAAATAAAAAATAAAAAATCAATCACATCACAAAACCCAAACTGGCTCCACTGAAGTGTGGCCTACATTTTTCACACCTGGTTGCTGGGCTTTTGATGCATAACAGATCAGATTCAGCCCATGTGCCCTGGCCTGGATGGTGCTGCCTGATCTCAGTCCGAAACAGTCAGAAACAGTAGCTGAGGTACAGTACAGGAGATGTGAGGAGCAGCTTGTTAGCTGATTCACACTGAGAAATGTCTAGGGAACAGGACAGCAGGCATCCTGTCACAGTTACACAGGTCCCATGATGATGCACATCATATTGTCCACATTCAGGATTTGTGGGTCATTATGGTGAACACCAAGGCCATATCTGGCACTGGAACCCATCCTCAACTGGTCAGCTTTAACTGGCTGCCAAGGAGTTTGACTAATAGCAAGCAATGATGAATGGGAAGGGGAAAGCTAACTTTTTAGAAGATTGTCCCAATTTTTTTTGGTTTGGTTTCAAACATGTTTATACAAACAAATTAATCGTACTTGTTTCACTGTTTGTTCTTACTCTGGCTAAAAAGCAAATTAGCACATGTAAAGTCTTATGTGGTGGAAAGTGGTTTCAAGGTTTTTCAGACCTTCAGGTCCATGAGAAGGACTGCAGGACAGAGCTCTAGTTTAGATGATAAAAGTGATGATACAGGAATTTGTTTACAGCCAATATCTGATTAGCTTGAGAGAAGCCAAACCAAATCTTATGAGCTCAGCTTTCTCTGTACAAGATTTATAGTCTAGAAAATCTGACAGGTTCAAACAATTTACTGTGGTACAGATGACACCAGCAGCAGCACCACATTTTAGAAATAAGAATTAAAGGCTGGTGCTGATGGTGCTCAAACAAATGCCTAGTGAGCCTTATCTAAGTGCAGCAAATGAAGAGAGATTTTGAGACGTTGGTGCTTCCTGGTTCTGGAGACGTGACAGTGCTACATACGGCACCAAAGGTAAAACCTGACCATTCTGTCTATCAGAGGCTCTGCGGTGAGCTAGTTCACTTGTAGAAGGCATGGGAGCAGGGGCGGGGCAAAGGATTGTGGGACTCCAGACAAGATGATTAAAATGTGGGGATTTTCCTTCAGGGACAATTCCAGTGTGACCACTTTCTTCTGGTTTCCAGTTACCACTGTGTTGTTTTAGCTACACTGAAGATGATTTTTTTTTTTTAGCTTTTATCATATTACATGGTATTTACTATTATTCAGTTACCTTAGTTGTCATTCAAAATACATTTATGACAGAAACAGTCTTAGATTATGACCTGATTCTACATTTGAAGGTAAACTGAATTTAGCATGTATTCAAACTGTGGCGGAATATGGCTGTACAAGCAAATGCCTTCATACACAACATGCAAATTCCTGAAAACAAGACATAAATATAGTAAAACTGGTGAATCAAACTAAATCCTATGGCCAATGTGAAAATCTTGAATAGTTTGTCTGATGAACTCCACTAACATTAGTGTTGTACCTGAGCAAACACGCTAAATTCCATTTAGTTTTGAGTATAATAATGGCTGTAGAAGTGATAACCAATAAGTAAAGAAAATCAATTGACCCTGGAATTGTCCTTCAGAGGTGCTGTGAGTAAAATATACCTGGCACGTGTACATTTCATGTTCAGACAGTCACTCGCTGGCACTGATGATTAGCACCCATTCACACTGCCCCAGTTTGTTTCCACATAAAGCTCTGGAGTTTATTCTGCACCTTGGAAACTGCAGCTGACAAAATTTCACTGGAGCTTTCAGTCATGCCACATGACATTCCTCAGCAGATGGAGTTTGCCCACTAGAGGTTCATTATGAGGAGTTGAGGTTTGTGTACATGAGAACTGGCAGACTTCATCTGCTGATGATACAAATATGGTAGGATTCAAAGCTTCAGAGCTGCTACTAAATGTGCGCTGAGGTGAGATTGTTCTGTCGGCTACATCTGAGTCTGATGTTTTCTGATGTCTGGTTACATTCAAGTCACAGACATACTCTCATGTAAAACACTGTACAGCCCTTACCAGGAGACAAGACCATAATCCTCAGACTCTTCTGTGCTTCCTTGAATGCACACTCAATCTGATTTAAGACCCCTAACCACTGTTTGACATAAACAAAGACAGAAACTGGAAATTAGAAATGGCTCTTCACTTAGGTCCAAAAATGAAGATGCACTGTGAGGAATCGGTCAAAATTTAAAATCCCTGCAACAAAAATATTGATTCATAGTGGTTGGTCAAATTTAAGCATCAGTAACAAAAAAAGAGCCTTTGCCAGATTTTGCACCAATCCACCTGGTAGATGTTGAGATTTTCTTCTGTACAACTGAAACATGTGACCTGTCACATTCACTATTTGATGGCCATGAATGTTTGTACCAAATGTAACGGTGATCCATCCAATAATTGTCAAAATATTCCAGTCTTGTCCAAAGTGGCGGACCGACCGGCCGAACCTTACGTGACTGCCTCAAATGTAAAAACACAGATTACTTGAGAGGCACAACCTGGGGCTTACATTCACTAAACCACTCACTGACCTGTGATAAGGCCAGTGCGTGTGCATCCAGGACAGCTGGCTTCAGTCTATAAGGACACAGTGATTCTGTGTGTGCCGGTTGTCCCCGCTCCGCCCGCTGCTCCCTGCATGGCTGATGGAGATCAACATAGAGTACCGTAAAGCAAGTTGGTACTCTGCCATGAATCTGTACAGAATATATACACCACTGGGTTCCTACATGGCACTGGGCAGGTCGAAGTGAAGGTTTACTCTCACATAAAGACAATACAATCAACATGGTTACGCTCAAGTACAGGTTAGTAATACAAATGCAGAGTCAGCACTATGGAGGGAGGAGGACCACTTCAATAATCATAATGAGAATAATAAGGATAATAATAATAGACTTTGTAGCTTCCTAATGCTGTTTCCCAGTAGAAGTTTAAAAAAACAATCAACACTACTGGGATAATGTAAGTCATCATCAGTACATTCAGTCATATCTTCATCATAATACACTACGATACATGTGCATTTGATAAGGTTGAGCACCGCAGCCGTGGCCGGGCTGAGTGCACAGGGCGCTGGGATGTTTCCTGTCAAACAAGCCACCTGCTTCTGGCAAAACTGAAAGCTTCAGAAGTTTGAGATTCTGGATGTGTACAGACAGCTTCTCCTTCAGAAAGGTCCTGATCCTGCTTCCCGTCCACCTCTCCCGTCTGCTCCTCGGTGATGTGTTATAAAACAGGTGGTGTCATTAGTAAGAAATGAAAGTTGTTTTTTTTTTTTACTTTGTTCTCTGCCTCTCAGCGAGGCGAAGCTTATTCAACACCATGGAATTGATGTCTGATAAATCTGCCGTTCCTCATGTGAGACGTGGTCACATGGTCCTTAGTTCTTCCCTTCACTCTCTGTGGAGACAAAACAGGCTCTCGGTCACATGTTGGTCGTTTAGCTCAAAAATCAAAACTGAACCTGTCTCTAGTTTGAACGTGAAGCCACTTCTAGAGCTCGTGAGACTGAGACTGCCTACAAAATCTATCAAAAGATGCAGCCCAGGAGGAGACGGAGTGCGAGGCCAACCCTGGCTCCTCCTGTCCAGACACTGTGTCCTTGGGAAACACACCGAACCTCAAACTGCTCCCCAAGGTGAGACCTGCACGTTGCATGGTAGCTCGCTGCCACCAGTGTGTAAATGTGTGTGGAAAAGGCTGAACAAGAGGCAAACTGCAGTTGGCTTTAGGTAAAGGTGCTGTGTAAAGGCAGCCTTTTCCCATGTACCAGCCATTTAAGCTGAAAGAACAAGTGCCCGGAGCTCCATGCACATACATCTGTGTCAGCTGAAAAGGTTTCTCACAAAGTCTACATTCAGCTGTGGGGCCACGTGACAATAATACAGCTCTACAAAAAAAGCCAACAGGTTGTTAAATGCAGTGGATTATTTCAGGCAAGTGTGTGAAAGTTAACTATCAGGCAGGTAATCAATCACCACACCAGAACACTGGTTGGTACAAGGCCAAAGCTGATGTTAAACCTAGGAGATTGGTAGATTGGAGATTGATTTGTACACTGCAAAAAGTGACAGATAAAAGATTGTAAACCAAGATAATATATGCTTGTTCTTTGTCTGACATGCTTCTTCTATTCAGACAGTTTTACATTAGAACATTTTACTTATTTCAAGCTTTTTGTCCTTAATCGTCTTAATAAGATATTATAATGTGTTACTTTTAGTTCTGAGTAACTTATTGCTTGAAATTCAAAATACCAGAGTTATAAATCTGTTTGATCAACTCTGGCAACTACAAAACCACTTTATATCAGATAAATGTCCTTGTTTTTAGTCTGCACTGGTTTTCTATTGGTTCTTGAGATGAGATATTTTTCTTTCTAAAAATCTTGGTAAGTGAAAATTTCCTGTTGTATTGGCAGATAACTGCTTATTTTATTGACTATTTCACATATTGTATTACCTTTGTCATGCTTTTGGGAGCCGAGCTGTTGAAATACACGTACAGACTTTAACATGGAGAAGTGACAGGACACTATTAGTTGTGAATTAAAGCTTCACTGTCAAATAAAATGGAAGAACAGCTGATTGACGCAACCAGAGTAAATTGATTAAAGAAGAGCAACTGCCTCTTTGTGCCACATCTGTCAGCAATCCTCTGAAGCTGTAGAAGCTAAAGGCAGCTGTGGTTGTTGGTCTTTTTTTTTACTAGTTTGCTTATTAATTATCTCGTCATGTTAAAGTATCAAACAGTGTTCATACTTGTGTTTCATTTGCACAACATAGTGATTTAATTATAGCACTAACAAGATACAAAACATTGTTTTCTTGTGATCACAACAAAAAAGTTTCAGTGTCATGGCTGAGTCTCTCTCCAGTTTAGAAGATGACTTTCTAAAATGCAAGCTCATAGAGGAAGGATGCTTAGACAAAACATACATTAACCAGTGTGATCACCATTTGTTATTTCAAGATAATGAGATAATTAATTCTGTTATGCAACCAAACAGCTGGATATGTAAAGATAAGGAGATCATTAATTCGTGATCTTCAGAAATAAAGTTTTCCTGACAAACCCGCTCTCCATGCCTCAGCTGCTCCCTCCGCTGTCAGCATCGCTCCTGTTAATAGCCTCTGTTTCGCAGCAGTTACCATTTATAGATAACTGCAGTCTTTGCCCCAGCAAGGTAATCATCACATTACACTGTTTAACTGCCTGCCAGGCACCCTCTGCATCATGTCACACATTCAGACAAAGGCACTGATGTATGGTCTATACAAATATATGGAGAGCACCGCAGAGTGGCTAATGATCTACTGGGGGGAGCATTTAGGCAACGAGGCCCGAGCGTCCAGAGTCGAATCAGCAGCCAGCTGTTATTCCCAGGAGAGAAGGTCTAGATATTAGATTTATTGATTCGCCACATGGCCTGAAAATGAGACAATTCTCCAGCTTGCTTTGCTCTCGGTTTACATTTTTAGAAAAGATCATTTTAGCCAGTTCATTTCGTAAGATGCAAACTAAGTGGATAGTCTTCGAGTCTGGGATCAAAACTGAGATCACACCAGAGCTGCAGAAGATATTTAGCACAGAAAGTAACAAATAATGACGTTAGGAGCTGAACAAGATGCCACAGTGAGGTGAACCTGGCCACTGTAGCCGTGTGTGTGTGTGTGGTGATTTTAATACAAGAAAACACAGACTAATTGTTCCGTGTAATGTATATTACATTAGTGTCCTGTATTTTATCTTAGCCTGATTAACCCAACACCACAGAGAGTGGCATTTTGAAAATGCCTTCATTTAATGAGCATTCGTTCACGCCCAATTTAATCACTGGCTGCAGCATAAAAACCGTTATCACATCCATTCGATATGTTTTCAGACAGTGCATTTCAAAGGTCAACACATTCGGTAACCCATCCTTTGAATTTACCAAATGACAGCTATGTGACTAGAAGAGTAAGGCTTACATTAACTAAGATTAAATTAAGTAGAAGAGTCATTTGCCAGGTTGAACTGGTGAATCACATCAGTAACATGTAAACACATGCTGCCGGGAAGGTTCTAAATACTTAAAATCATAAGTCTAACTTAACCTTAAATTTTTATCGGCTGTCATATTACCGCTAACTGATTCTGGTCCCAGAACTGAGAAATATTGTGTCCTAGACCACAATAAATAAATAAGAAAAGTCATTCGTCGGCTTAAATGCTTTGTTCAAAGTTGCTGCAAAAAGGTTGGGGTTAAGTTCAGAAATTTTAAAGTCCTATTTCTCTTGAAAATAAAAGTAAAATTAAAGCTTCCCCCACGGTTGCTGTCGTGTGTGTGAGAGCACAGTCTGGTAGGAACAGCATCCACGCTTCAGACCCACCTGTGGAGGAGTGTCCTGACACCTGCTGACTGGAGACCAGCGACCTGGAGCTCAACCCTTCAACACACAGAGGAGCAAGTGCACATGAGAAAGCCTGACATGAAGGCAACTGTCCTGTAACGCTGAGAGGGTCCAGTTTTCACCCAAAACATTACATTAGCAGGTAAACTATAAGCCCAAGTTTCTCCTTCATCAGGCTTTTCAAAGCTAAAAGATGCTGCTGAGGTTCTGTCACTGAGTGTCAGGTGGTTCGTGCTATTCCTTTATGTACGACTGAAGCACAACATGAACTTGATTGTAATAACATGCCCTGCTTTTTTAACAGATCTTGAGGTCGGTTTTCGGAGGCAGTTCCTGTGGCAAAATCAACTTTTTAGATGTTCGTTATTTCAGTGTTGTTCTCAAACACTTCAGTTAGGTGGTACTCCAGCACAGAAAAACTGCACACACTGTGTAAAGAGTGGGAAGAGCAGGGTTAAACGGTGAACCGTGCCCACACAGCATATCAGGAAAAAATACATCTCGCCTACCATCGTTAACACTTTTCATTTTATTTCCTTCACCATCACTCATCAACAGTGCATCACCTCTGAGGAGCCCGAAAGGTTAAAGCAAACAAGAGGGTCACCTTGTTCTCTAGCATGTTTGTTCTATGGTAGCAAAGCATTCATGCATGATTATCACCCGACTTAAAAACCTCTGCGCTCAGTCGGTCTCAGTCTGGGTCCACACTGTGTAGCTGTACCTTGGTAGATGTCGTACTGTCCTGACATCAGGTTGTAGCTCATACCCAGGTGTGTGTGATGGTGTGTGTGGAGGTGTCGGGCAAATGACACATGGTTCCTCTCTCTCTCCGTCTCTCGCTCGCCCTCAGGGGAACCCTTCTCACCAGGCTGCAGAGACACATAAACACACTTTAGGAGGATGCTAACATTGCAGGGTTGATGATGGTGAACAGCACAAACCTGTAACGAACAGTAGTTCAGTGTCTGTTAGGTAATTTTAATGTAACTGCAAATTTCTCTTTTAAAAGCAAAGCAGCAACTATAAGAACGACTTCAACTGGAGTTCATTTCATTGTCACTATTGTCTGACTCCAACAAAAACATGATTGTACTGAAGGGAACAGAGAAAACCCCAAATTCTGAAGACAAAGCTTGGGGGGGTTCATTTGCTCCTCAGCTCTACTTGGGGTTGAACTTCATTACCAACACATTTATGGCTCTGGTTACTGGAAAACTACAAATCTTTGGGTTTTTCCATACAGGCTGGAGTCCTCTGCGACACAGTCAGATGCCACAGCAGTCAAGACCTTAATGATTAGGTGGTACTATGGTACAGCACATCCACATCATGTACAGAAGTGGTCAGAAACGTGGTCAATCACTTAAAGATTGAATAACAACAGTTTCCTAGGATGAGGACAAACTTTCCTGCTAAACTTAAAGGACGATCAAACTGCATCTCTATGTTTCTGCTGATGATTTTCCAAAGTCAGCTGCAGTATCTCCCTCCTGGCAGCATTATAGTGGTTAATCTGTTTCACTCTGAACACCTGAAATGACTGCTTTAAGTTTTTACAAACTCAAATTAGTACTGAGGGGGCACAGTACACTGTCACCTCACAGCAAGAAGGCTCTGGGTTTGAGCCCAGGCTGACCCGGGGCCTTTCTGTGTGGAGACTGCATGTTCTCCCTGTGCCTGTGTGGGTTCTCTCTGGGTGCTCCGGGCTTCCTCCCACAGCCCAAAGACATGCATCTTAGGTTGACTGGTGACTCTAAATTGCCTGTAGGATTGAGTGTGGTTGTTTGTCTACATGTCAGCCCTGTGACAGACTGACAACCTGTCCAGGGTGGACCCCACCTTTCGCCCAATGTCAGCTGGGATCGGCTCCAGCCCCCTGCGACCCTGTTCAGGAATAAGTGGTATAGATAATGGATGGATGGATGGATGCGCACTAGAGCATGTGTTGTCTGCACTACACAACAATGGAAGGGTAACAAACGAAACAAGCAGGTGTTGGTGGTGATGAATCGTGTATCTCTAGCAAACAAGTTGAATATTATGAGCTAACTGGAAACCAGCAGGTGCCTGGAAAGCACCAAACATTTAAAGCACTGTCTTGTACACATCTCACTCAGCTGTTTTTGCCAACAGATTATTATGAAAAAAATTCTACAAATAAACTAAATCATATGACCTCCATCTGGGTAACACTTCTTCCTGTTCCTGCATTTCTAAATGTGCGATGAAGCCAATATGTCTGTTTGGAGGGATTTTAAAGTATTTCCATTGATTTGTCCTTTCTGTGTTAATAACAGGAGTAAGAGTTTCAGCCTACATGATATTTGGATTTTACTCCTGAAAACTTTAGAAAATGTATCTGTATTTGCAGCAGTCGGCTGTACCGGGCACTTGTGTCACTAGTATTCACTTTAATGTCTGACTCCGGATGTGTTTGTCGTGAGTCTGCTTCTAATCCTTTCATGCAGGGTTCTGTCTGCGTTCATCACAAAGCATCAGCTGTGTACCAAATGAAGGAAAACAAACATCAGAGGTGTGATGCTGCGAGCTGCACTGTGGATGTGGGTGTGACGGTGAAGCGAGCGCTGCTCACAGCAGGTGATTTTCCATGGTACTGGTGGCTCTGCTGCTGCAGCAGTTCCATGGCCGAGGACGAGGACGGGTCACTGCTCTGCTTGTTGCTCACTGCTCCTCCTCTGCCAGGGGGGGTCACCTCTGACTCCTCCCTGCCTGCCGTCTTCCCGTACAGAGGGTAGTGGAACCCTGGCGGATGCAGAAGCAGATACACACACGCCTTTATTTGCCATTGAATTGTTGAAGCTGGGGGCTATAGTCTGCATCACAGGTTACAGCACCTTAACTGAAAACACTTTCATCTTTAGGTGCATGAGTTATGCATTTAAATGTATTTCTTGTTTTCTTCCCTGTGTTAAAACTGATTCTGTAATGCAGAGGCTGCTGACAGGCAAACTTTCCTACTGAAGACAGCTCAACTTCTTTCAAGTCTTACACTTCATCTGACTTTTATTTTACTGTGACACTCCAGATGCATTCATTTTTTTCTTTTCAACTGCTTTCAAGCCTTACATACAAACTGAACCTGAAAATCCCAGCCCGCTAGCCTTACCTAGTCCTCTGTACGTTCACTGCTGCCAGTCATTTGGTCCATTGATTATTACATAGCATACTGGTCAGTGGAGCTTTAAAGGAATAGTTCAAAACCTATCTGTTTTCTTGCTGAGAGTCAGATGAGGAAGTCTGTACTCTCAAGCCAGAACAGTCAATATGAAGCTGCAGCCAGCAGCTGGTTAGTTTGCCTACCAGCGTCTCTGAAGCCTGCTGCTCAACACATTATAAATTGTTCATTTAATCCATCGGAAAAAAACAAGTAGTAAAAACAAGCAGCAACCTCTGAGGCTGAGAGATGAAGCCAAGAATTAAAACCTGCAGTTCCTCAAATGGCCACTAGATGCTCCAAACGGGTGTCAGTCCCCATAGACTCATGTTAAAATGACCAACTTTACAGCAGAAATAAACATGTTTACAGCCTGGTACAAAAACACTTTTGTCTTTATAGCTAATTTTGAAGCGCTACCAATATGGCGATGACCAGACTGAGCTTCAGAACTGCTCTTCCAAAAACCAATGGGTGACATCACGGTGGGTTTGTCCATCTTTTATATACAGATATACATATCCATTAAAAAAACAATAACTAAGTCATTGCCTCCTCCAGCCTTTGTGCTAAGCTACACTAACATCGAACATGTGTACTCAGATGTTTCTCTTAAAGTAGACTCAAACCTGAACTCAGATTCTTACCTGGGTAATTGTGAACCAGGGTTGGGGACACTCCTCTGTAAGATCCCCCGCCGCTCTCACACATTGCCAGGTAGGGTGGGTAGGAGGAGTGCTGGTACTGGATGTAGGGCTGCTGGGGGGTCATGGTTGGCGACACCGCTGCCCGGGCACCCTGGGACTCCTCAGACAGCCCTCCCATTGGCTCCTGTCCTTGATCATCCAGCCCTTCCAGCCTGGCTGAATCCTCTGTGTCGATGGTCAGGGGGAGATCGTGGGATCCATGGACCCTGGGTTTTTTAGCATCTCCGCCCACACCTCCTCCTCTCTCTCCTGTGCCTCCGCCACCTGAGGACATCTTGGCCCTGGCAGGCTCCACAGTAGCTCCCCATTCTTTTCCCCTCTCTGCTTCCCCCTCCTCTGCCTCCTCTCCATGCTGACTCTGTAGCTCTGAGTATTTGCGATGAGCCCAGGCTGGGCCGTCTGAGGGCTAGATCGATGAGGACAAGTGTTGGTGCTAGTTGCAGTGTTTCCCCTATAATTCTTTGTTAACAGTGGTGGGTAGGAGTTGTTTTGAGGTCAGTTCAACTTCGGTCCACATCTCTTTCCCAGTTTTTGTTTATATGGCCAGTTGTGGAGCTAAAACTGAATACCTTTTTCATAATAGGTCTAAATACTAGCCCTTTAGCATTTGGTCTATTTGTGTGTTTTGGAGGGAAACCAAGGCTAATTTTTGACTTTCATTTGTACATTTTCTTTTTAGCAGTGGTGGAGAATTTCTTGCTGCGGTGGCCCACCGCTGCTGAGCGACTATAGAGGAAACACTGTGTACTTCATTGAACAGAGCCATAGACAGACCATCTATCACTGGCTCTGGGCGTGATGTTGATGAAGGATGACGATGTTTCAACAGCAGGTGGCCATTCAGAGGTGGGATGTGAGGAGTGCGGCGTCCCGATCAATGACACGAATCAAGACACGTCTCACACATGATCAAGCACAGAATTTAGGCCAAACCGAAGGGAAAAAACAAGCTATCGTCCCCATCACATCTTTCATTCAATTCATACAACCTTTTTACATGACCCAGCATGGCTAGAGTTAGCAGTTAACTTGCATCATGAGATGACATGGTTAAAAATCTGTACAAGCTTTCTGAAAAAGCAGTTCATATCATAACCGACACTTGTGTATTAGAAATGTTTCTTTTGTTGCTTTATGTGTTTGTTTTACATTTACAGCTGAAGAGGAAATTACACATTTCCTTCATGAATTCTCACGCTAAACATTAAAAACATTTGAATCCATCAAATAAAACTACATGATTTTTTCCAACCAAAATGAATGAAGCAGCATGTCAAAGTAGAGCTACAGCACCACAGAAGCCACATGGTCTTTGTCATTAGCACCTATTGGTTTAGCTGTACACAACGTGTGATTAATCTCTTTGTGACACTCAACAACAGTGGTTAAAGCACACCAACAACACCATCAGCAGCGGCGGCAGGTTATAGACAGAGGGAGAAACTTACACTGGAAAAGGAAACATTTGAGTCCAGATCTGTCTGACTGTTTGGGTTGTGAAGTGATGAAGAAGAGGAAGAGGAAGGTGACCTGATGTCATCACAGTCTTTCATTGAGACCTGGTGCTGGTCCACCATGCCACCATGCACCGCCTTTACACCCAGACTCTGTCCCCTTTCTCCTCTCTCACTCATCTCCACGTAGGACAGAACGGGTTTGAGACAGCAACCTTTAGTGGTGTCTGGTCCTTTACCTAGCATGGGTCCACTGGCTGGACCCCCAACCATATGTTTAACGTCCTCACTGTCTCTTACCCCCTGTCCCCTATCGACCCTCTGCTTGGCACTGGGTGCCTGGTCACAGCATTTGGAGGCCAGTAGCAGTTTCTGGTCCATGTACAGTCCTCTGGAGTACTGACCATAGTACAGGGACTGGGCTAAGGCAGTCTGGGTCTGACTCATAGCCAGCTGGAGCTGAGACTGAGGCAACCCATCGCCTTTCTTAGAGTCTGAGAACTCGTGG